TATTTGCGCACCCATGTTTACAGCAGAACACTTTGTAATAGCTAAAACTTGGAAACAGCCCATTTGCCCATCCGTTGGAGACTGGATAAAGAAGATGTGGTTTTTCTATAAAATGGAATATTACTCAGCCATAAAGAATGAGAAATTAGAGTCATTCATAGGAAAATGGATGCATATTGAGGATATGCTCTTAAGTGAAATAAATAAATCACATATGTGTAAATACCAAATAATGTCTCTGGTGTGAAAAACTATAATTGTACATAAGATTCTAATGCTATAATTGACAATGTGAAATAGGAAGAAAAGGGTTAAAGGTGTAGGGAGAGTGGGAAGGGTAGGGGAAAGGAAATAAGGGAAAAGAAAACAAAATATGAGAAAATGAAAAAATGGAAATAAAATATTTGTAAATAGGGAAGGGAAGGCAGAGGTAAGGGGAAAAATGAGAACCAAGACCTCTCCTTTAAAGGTACAAGACCCCAGTGATGAATGTAACTGTACTGTATACCTCAAAAGTACCAATAAACTCAATAAGATTAAAAAAAAAACTTTCACTCCTCAATCTACTTTTCAGATGAAAAAAAGAAACCTGCCCCCCACACAAAAATGTGTGCTTTCAGATTGGCTGGATGCCAAATAAATCTTAAATCACAGATAAGCTGGGTGGATAGGGCCAACAGCTCCAGTGTTAAGAAGCTCCCCATGGCTCCCCCTTCTATGAACCACTTATATTTGGAAAGATCTGTACTTTTGTAATCATAAAGTCTTCTATGAAGCAAGGAGCAAAGTACACAAATACATAGTTATAAACTCAATGTATTATCACTTGTACCTTAAAATACGCTGAGAAGTCATTTTTTCCTATGTGTGCCTGAAATTAGCAAATGACAAGGCAGAGAGTGAATTAGAGAATCTTGCAGTGACGACAGCCTGTTTAACAATGGTGCACCATTTCACTTAGCAAGATCTAATGAGGCAGGGCAGCACTGGCATCGCCAGGTTTCCCTGTGTCACAGCATCTCCAACATTCTGTACAGCACCAGATCCCTCTCCTGAGGTCCCACAGAAGGATGCATAATGGCCGAGCTCTTGTATGGCATTCGTCTTCATGAGTGAGCTGTCCCATCTCCTCTCACAAGCACAGATAAACGTCACAAGAGATCAGCCACTGTGTATTACACAGCCACTCAGAGTGCGCAGCTGCCCCACCTCTGCCCTTCAGCACCAAAATGACTTCAGATCAGAGCCAGGAAGAATTCAAAAAGGTGTGAGTCTGAGTGTGTCATGGGGAGAAGAACCAGGCCACGGGAAAGCAAATGAACAAGAAACAAAAACTGCCCTTGCTTAGTTTTATAAAGGCAAGTGGTCTGCAAGGTGAGTGGGAGATGTGTGCAGGACAGAAGGAGTAGGAGATCCTCCAGGAGGGAAGCAGGAAGTCAACTATGTAAAAGGAGAAAACATTAACATTTCCTCTTGCATTTTTAACTATCTAGGTAATAAGAAAACACTAAATTGTCACATTTGATCTTAAGATTAACACAACTGCCTTTATGCAATCCACGTCAACCTTGAGCGATGAATAATGACAAAACAAGTACAATTGCAGGGAAGAGGTTGTATCCATTCCTCCCTGCTGTATTCCAGGGAAGGATCATGAAAATGCATTAAATAATGCATCAACTATTTTCATATGTCATGTAGTTAAGTTTCAGTTAGTTCGGAGGAGGTTTCCTGAGAAGGACCAGGAATAACTTATCCCTTCTTTCTTCTTTTTTTATTTATCTCTGTCAAGGTATTTAAGTTTACAGAAGCTTATTTTGCTGCATTTACAGCATAATTAAATTAAACTAAACCTCTTAAAATAGACAATTAGTACTATTAACATTCTACTTAGAAGCCGTCAATTAATAAGGATATTACACTATGAGGACAAATGACTGAGAAAAGAGAATACGATGTTGTGCCTTCCTGCACCCCACCTTCAGTACCAGCTTTTTCTCAGTAACTCTCTTTTGTGCAAAAATAACCTAATTAGACCTGGGAAGTTCACTATAATTTTTCAAAATTATCCACAAGACTCATTATAACTACATTTTTAATAGTGAACTCCACTGTAAAGGCACAGTGTGACCTTGAACAGAGAACATTATTCTCTGCAGTTAAAGCCAAACTTACTGGTGGAAAAGTTTTCCCCCATTCCCTCAACATGTTCCGGACACTTTCTCTCAAGCAGGAATTTTCTTTGTTCTGTTTTATTACTTCTATCTCCCCACCGAGTGTAAGTGGGACATGGCTCTATGCAGTGAGTTTTCTATCTGTAATATCTGATCACCAGTGAGTTTGCTGGGCCCAAATGACTTGTGCTCTGTGAAACCAATGTAAAGTGTTTAACTCCTGCAAGCCCGCCCTCTCCTGATAGTATAACCTGTCCCTGCTCCATCCCAAAGCGGGGTCAGCCTCATCATGGAGAAGTCCCAGACAGACCCCCTAGTGTTAAGAATAAAACTGTACACTTTGCCTACACAACTTGTGGATGCATCTTCTGTTCTCCTGGACTGCGTGTCTGTATGTTCTGGCTGACAATTTCCACTACAACCTGAGCTATCAAAACTATTAATTGTTTCATTTTTTTCATCATTTAAAATTAATTTTTAGCATGTTTTCTGATGTATATAATTTGAGTATCATTGTAGAGGTGTCATTTACTTTTAAAAGTTTATGAAATAATCTATAATAGTAAGTCAGACAGTATCTTGTTGACAACTAGTGGCACACTGTCAAAAAATTTAGAAACTACTTCTCACTGGTGACAATTGACCCCACAAAGTATTCGGTCCCCTTTTACAACTGTTCCTCATTGCTGTCAACTTCCAACTCCTTTCCTTCCAAGTGGCATTTTTCCTGTCACAGTTAATATTGATACCCAGGTACCCCCACAACAAGCACCCAATCCCTCCCTTAACCTATAGCATTAAGCGTGGGAATGTAACAGCATAATAACAATATGACTTCTGAATTTTTACTGACAGATAGGGCAAGAGGAAATAAGGAGGTAAAGTTCTCCCAAATTAATATAAAAGCAGGAATAAAGTGAAGAAGTTGCCTAAAGCCAACTCAATAATTGTGATGAGTTAGCACATAGTGAGAAAGTTATTTTATAGTAAAAGCCATTTTATAATAGAGGTGGTTCTGATTTGTGGGTGAATAGAGATTATACATATCTATCCTGTTTTTACATCATATTATTGGAAACAGGTTAACATAATGTGGTGTAGTATTGTAAAACAAACTACATTACAATGGGGCAATCTTATCCGTTCATCTCAGTTGTATTCATTGCTGGAATATGAAAAATGAATTACATTACACATGCAGGGTTTTCATCTCACCCCTCTGTTGCTCTTTAATCACATAACAATTGTCTTGTTAATGAATCTAAAAGCTATTAACACCGGCTTCCCTTAGGCCTGGGCTGTGCTTTTGGATGTGTGGTTGCTTCTGTCTCTTGACAGATACCAAGCCCCTATGAGGTTGCTCCTTATCCCGCCCCCATTCCAAGAGGAGCACACTCCAGGGAAAGCTGTTTCCTATCGGGACAGGATGTGAAATATTATGTTTGTCCAATCTCTGACTATGTTCCAGGTCCAAGTGGAATTTAGCTGGGTCTTTCACATTTATAACAGTAACTATTTTCAGAGGAAATAAAAAGTTAAAATTCTTGACTCACCCAGGTTCATGTTTAGGGTTTCATATTTGCTTTTCCTGAAATTCTGAATTCTACAACCTTGTAATATTTTTAATCTAAATCTCTTTCGACCATATAGCGATCCCTGAGAGATTTGAGATAAGAGGGTCAGAGAGGAATTGCCATTTAGGTGACTGGAAATCCCACAAAATCATACTATTTTGCTCTGAATAAACAATATAGGAAAATAGTGTTAAGATAAAATTCATATCAATGCATCAAAGACTGATGACTGCCAACTCTTTTATTACAGACTATTAGTCAGCCCAGCTCTGTCTTTTGTGGACTGTCATTATCTCTATGTGATTTTTGCTTTTATCTAACCCTGACCTTTCCTATCAATACTATCATCACAGACTCAAAAGCCAAGAGGCATTAAGTAGGTATACCCTCCTACTTTTCTATAATGATAACAGTCCTAAACTCTAGAATGTCTGATAATAGATTTTTAGGGGCCGTTTATAATCTTAGAAAGAGATAAGGATTACTTTACCCAAGAAAATAAGTACTTGACTATCATTTTTCATAAGAAACTAGCAATGAGATGATAATGAATTACATATATTCTACCTGTCCTAACAAATCCTATCCTTTTTCGTACATATTTGAATTTTATTTTGCACCTGAGCAAAATGCACACATAAGCAATTAATGGCTATGGAATCCATTTGTTTCATTAAAAAATATGGATAATTTAAATTTCACCACAAATTTACAGAATAAATTAATAAAATTGGCTACTGATCAACTGAAGATTGAAGATGGATACTGCAACATTTCCTTCTTATATTTTTCCATAAAACTATCTTGTTGCAGAAGAAGAGTTACTTAAGTATATTTGTCACCTACTCATTGCCTTATACTTTAGAAAACTGAAACACGGATGATTATGAATAGGCCAGATTATCACAGACCTTTTGTTCATTCTTTCCAATGGAAACAGGAAAAAAAAATTAAGGCTTGAGGCATAAATCAGAGATTAAGCCTATATAACTTCTAATATCTAACAAAGTCTAACAGTTTCAATGTGCATAAAAGAAGAGAAGCCATTTTCCATCAAGTCAAAAGTGATTTCTTGGTGTTTCCTGTGAGTGCCACTTAACACTTATACTTCTGAAAGGAAGACTTTTGCCACTGGGACAGAGTGACAAGTGTTGAGGACAAACACAGATTGCTGATGCTTAATATGGAAAAGCAAGACATTGAGTAGGAATAACGAGGCAGAGAAAAAGAAATGAACAAGACTCTAACTTACTGGTAATAACAGATGTCATGGCCTGTCCGTATCCAGGTGGATCTGCCAAGGAGGGCCTCCCTCACGGAATAGAGGGTTGGCTGCATCCCTACATAAAATCAAAGCAGAACTTAATCTGTGAAGGAAAGAGAAACCTTAAAGAGAGTTGTTATAGGCTAAATAATGGTACCCAAAGATATGCAATTCGTAATCCTTGTCAACTGTGAAGGTTAACTATATATGGCCAAAAGGACTTTGAAAATGTGATTAAGTTTAGGATTTTGAGATGGAGAGATTATCCTATTGGCCCCAATTGCAGTCACATCTTTAAAAAGTAGAAGCAAAAGGGAGATTTGAGTACAGTGGCAAAGCCACAGGACTGAATTAGACAGAAATGCGAAAATGCTACATTGCTGGATGCAAGGATGAAGGAAGGAACCAGGAGTCAAAGAATGTCACTCTAGCAACTGGAAAAGAAAAACAAATGGATTTTCCCCTGGAATTGCAAGGATACAGAACCCTGCTGACACCTTAACTTCATCCCAGTGAAACTGATTTAGACGGCTAACCCCCAGCACTGTAAAAGAATAAATTTGTCTTGTTTTAAATCACCAAGTTTGTGACAACAAAGCCATACAAAGTGTATACAAAAATAAAGGTTCCATTTTCTCTTTCCATTGCAACAAGAATTTACTTAGTATGAAATAGAGGTAGTATCTCGTGCTCTGACCTAGATATGTGGGAATACTTATTCCCTATTCAGACCACCCAATAAATTACTACTGAATTAGCAATAACACAAGAATTTCCCAGGAATAGAAATAGTCAAAGTAAGTATGGACTGCTGGTTGGTCTTTATCTCTTGAATGTCTCCTTCAAAATGGATCACAGATATTGAGGAGAATTTAAAATTTCCCCAGAGTTTTCTGAAAGTGTAAAGCAGTGTTGTTCAGTTGGAGTTTACTATTCTCCTATTTTATAAATGACTGGCTAATACATTTGTTCATGTGAGATTTAAGAAATGTAGAAAAGAAAAAAAAATGATAGTGCTCACCAACCTAATAGTTCAAGGTGGAGCAAGGGATGAGGACATAGTGGAATGTTATGTGTGCTATTAACATTCTATGGTAGAGTGAGGGTCTGCAGCTCCCCCCCCACCACCACAGTCACAATATGGTATGGGAGGGCCATTGTCTTGCCCAAATGTGTCCATCTAACTTCAAACTTTCTGGGACCCCAAGCAAGGGCTCTTACAGTAAGATAGACAGGAAGTGATAACACCTTGTTATTGTTCAGAAAGCCCCTAATCCCCACAAGCTCATACCATAATTGAACTGACTATTGGGCTTCTCGCAGTTGATGATGTTGAAGCGGTAGGGGATGGCAGTCCTCATGCCGCTCACCTTGAAGTAGAACCACTGCTGGAGCTGCGCACTGTTCACATCAGCATTGAGCAGCAGGTCATATTCAAACCTGCAAAGGCAGAAGCAAGTAAGAGGGCTACCTGGAAAGACTTCAGAGCAAATGAGAATCTATGAGTCTCAAGTTCTAGATTATATATAGATCCAAGCTGCAGGCTCTCCAGTGGATGACAAAGTACAGTAATTGTTCTCATTTCACCATATTGGACAAAGGCTTTGGAAATTTGGGGAGAGTGACCTTAGTATTAGAAGGCTCACTGTACAGTGGAAAGGTATCTTTTCATCAAATTTCCAGCTAGAAAATTGCAGGTCTGATATATCCCAAGGCAGTTCAATCACATCTGGTTTGAGTACGCCTCTACTGTTTGATTCTAAACATTATTGTTGAGCCTCAGTTTCCTCATATGTATAGTGGAATGTCTAAATTTGTGTTTGTGAAGATTAAGTAATGAGTGATATAAATCCCCCAACAAAGCAAAGAACATGAGTTACACTAGCAATGGAAGTGAGATACAACTTATGTGCAGTAAAGTGCACAAATCATAAATGTATATCTCAATTAATTCACTTGCACCTGGATGCACCTGTGTGACTACTATTCAGTAGAGAACAATTCCATTACCCTAAGAGGTTCTTGTCTGTCCCTTCTCAGTTGCTATGTAATTAATTTTCTGGCTCTAGCAACACACTTTTTAAGGCAGTTTTGACTTAAATATTATTATCAGATAATTTCATTTTCAAATATTATTGTCACATCTTCTTGGTATTCTCTTTGAATTGCTCTTCTAAAAAAAGGCAATGTTTTCACCCTAATCCATTTATACTCTTCACTCAAAAGCCCTGAAAAATGACCTTTTACTATCTATGTAGTCATTTATCATGAAAAGATAGGGCTTGGTATAAGACTAATGAAAGCAGAGCAGAGATGATTAATAGGAGTCCCAATCTTCACATTTGGGCTATAAGGACCACACTCTAACCATATGGCTTACTGTGCAATGAATAAAGCATAACTCACTGAGTACCACTTGTAAGAACAATTCTGGAAACTCTGTGACCCTCAAAGTATCCACTACTGCCACTGTACACTCTCTAAACGGTGATTGTAAAGGTGTTTTTTGGTGTTGTTGTCGTTGTTTTTTTACAGTAAGTAGCTTTGTTTTCTGTCATTTGATTCCTGTTACCCTGACCATACCTGGTTGGTTTGCTAATCAGGTTTTCACTTTCTGCTCAAATGAAGATGTAGAGAGAAAGACATTTGAACTGGCCACCAGTTTAGGCATATCCTGGACTGATACCTATCTGGGTAGGAGACTTTTAATCAAGTATTGTCTCCCAAATCCTTTGAACATGACTCTAAAGAGAAGGAATAATGAAAATAGGATCCATAGGAAGAAGTAGAAGATAAGCTAACAGAAAGAGAACAGGGATGAAGTGGAATTTTGATGATGCCTTTCCCTTCTTTTGCCCAAGTAGTTCAGTTTGTCTCTGTCTTATATGCTGGGCTCCCTTGAAAGGTTTCATGTGCAAAAAAAAAACAATCACCTCCCTCACCCCCAAAAAAATTCAAAAATGGCTCCTTAGGTGGATATTAAATAAGTCAGAAGTCATACCAAGTTCTGAGCTCTATTCATGGTAAATATGTAGACCTCATGTTGACTGAGTGCTTGCTTACCATGTGGCAGATACTAGTCTTAACAGCTTTCTGTGTAGTGCTTAACTCTCACAAAATACCTGTGAAGCAGGTACTATGATTGTCTTCATATTATGGGTAAGGAAATAAAGCCATACAGTTAGTTGAGCATCTTGCTCAGTCTTCTGGTTGCAAAGTGGTGGCCACTGTACCATTAACTGTTCTGGGAGTATTTATCAGAAGTTTACCCATAGCAGATGGGTTGTATATATTGCTTTTTGGTGTATGGGAAATATAGCTCTTTCCTTACCTAAGAAGTCCTCTTTTATTAATAAAAAAAATTGGTAGGATTTTCCAAAGATGCACAGCACTGAAAATTCCCTGGGATGAAAGATGGAAGCCCGGAGAATATTTTTACCTCAGTCCACAGCCATGGCATCAATAGACATGCGAGGTAAGATAGGGAACACTGTACTCTACCATGTCAACAGCACCAACCTAAAGAGCAGGGATTTGGCTCAGTGGTTCCACGGCTTGGCTCGCAAGTGCAAGGGCCCAAGTTCGATCCCTGGTACCAAAAGCAAAACAAACCAAAAACAAATAGCACCAACCTTGGCATCAGAGGAAGTATAAATGGCCTAGTATAAATGGCACTCACATCTAAATGTGGGAATACAAGACACATTTATACTTCTGGTGAACAGTTCACCTTGCTGTGACATCAGCCATTGTGTTCTCTTGTGGTATGTCAATAAACGCTTAACAACTGACTCGAGAGGAAAGCCTTCATTAGTAGCACTTGCCATTTTCATGGTGTATATACTCTCTTCACGGCCAATGTCAAGATACCAGTGTGAGTTTGCAGAAAGAAAAATAAGGAAGAGATTAACATAACCTGCTTTCTAGTGCTGCCAGGGCTACCCACTGTGGTTTTCCTTACTTACTCACGCACTTGGATGGCTTTGCGAAGATTTCCCGACTCAAACTTGGAGAAGAACCTCAGGCAATTGGAAGCACTGTCTTGCAAAGGCCTATAATAAAACAGAGAACACGTGAAGATGTCTTGCTATTCTTGCACACAGTTTGACATGTCTGAACAACAAGATTCCTTGTAGAAATATTTAACCTAAATAGTCATTATGCTATTTTTGGGTGTAGGAATGGATTAAGAAGTCAAAATGCCCCATTCTTGTACCATTAATAGAATTCCCCACACCTTCCACACCACCTACCAAGGCTCATCTAAACTAAAGACGACTCTGTTTATAACATCACTTGGCTGGATGAGCCTCCGGACATCTTCAAATATCTTGATCCTGAAAAAGAAAATTGGAAATGTTTAAAGTGTTGTTCCCACTTTTGAGTACTGTCCTCATACTCATCTTATGATATACTGAAAAGGGCCTTGGAAGTCATCAGCGAAATACCAAAAACTGAGAGAAGTTTAACAACGTCCCAATCTTGGGCTCAGGGGGTGTTAACAACATTGTCCTCCCTCCTCTTTTTGATTAAGAAACAAAACTACACTGTGCAATAGGAATAGAGAAACCAAAGATGTTATATTTCTAGTTAGAGGATTCCTGGCTTGGATGAGTTTTTTCAAGAGCATTTAAGGTACTATAACCATTTTAGTTGTATTAGTATCAGAGTCCTTTGCATTGAGGCAGTTTTGAGGGAGACATTAAGACTATTGATGATTAGGGGGTGAAGGGAGGGCAGGGTCAAGGGGAAAAAATGAGAATCAAGACCTGTCATGTAAAGGTACAGGATCCCAATAATGAATGTAACTGTACTGTGTGCCTAAAATGTACCAATAAACTCAATTAAAACAAACAAATAAAAAAAGACTACTTTGCATCCTGAAGGCTTGGGAGGCTCTAAGAAGCCTTTTTACTCTTGTGCCATTTATATTCCTCGTGCTATATCTACTTCAAAAGGCTCAGGCCAGTTTTCTGACTGAGGAACAACAATATCTGAGCGATTTAAATAAGAGAGAGGAAGGATTCTCAGGAGGTCTGGCAATTCCCTTCTTGAATTTCCAATCCAGTCCATGAGGGTGGGGTGGGAGGATGGTGACAGTGAAGTGGATACGAAGCCTGGACAGGGAGGAAGGATGTTCTGGGCCAGGATAAATCTGTGCTAGATCAACCCCCGAAGTACTATGTGTTTCTCAGGAATCTGAGCATGGTAGCTCATGCACAGGAGATGAGGAAAGAGATGTCAGCCACATGCCTATGTTGGAGCAGTTCTTGGGATTTACTATCTGGTAGTGAAAGAACAATTTGCTGATAATATGGAATAAGTGAATGAAACTTTATGGTCTCCATGCTTTGTTCTATTCATTTAGCATATGCATCCCATTTTATCCTTCAGAGAATATTTTTTCCTCACCTTTATTAGTTTTCCTTTTAATCTCACTAAGCTGAGTCAAAGACAAGGCTCTTTCCTTCCTGCATCCTGAAAATAACCTATCATTCAGTGTTTTTTGCCCTGGGGGATGTGTTTTATTTTTCTCTGCCCCTTCTTCCTGATGCAGTAAAACCATTCCATAAATCAAGCTAGGGTCTGTAAGACTGGGCCTGTAGAATGAAAATAAACCACCTCCTCTCAGTTATCAAAAATTCAGATACAAATTTGGCACAAACAAGAGATTTCTAAATAGTTCCCACTTTTTCTGAAAATTTTCCTTTGAAAAAAGATGCCAGTATTTGTAAAAACTGCACGATCTTTCCCTGTTTGTGATTGGCAATGGATATGAGGAAAGGGATTATATCAGAGTCATTCAAGGAACTCTTTGTTGGAAAACAAATGCCTACCACCATCCCACACTTGATTCTGAAATGTCTCTGGAGAGAGGAAAGTTTGTAGTTTTGGTAGCTCTGAAATCAGTAGCACTGTCACCTTTGAACTCCACGTCTGCGTTCCAACATGGACTGGGAAAAGGGAGGTGGACAGTGTCCCCAGAGGTCAGGAAATGCTATCATCTTGAAATCCAAGATAGACCTGGTTCTTCTGGCTTTGGCCATATATAGATAGGGGTCATGGAAGAGAATATGCTTGGGATGTGTGTGCAGAAGCTTATCTATTAATATTTCAACAGTTTCTTTGGGCCTCGTGGAATTAGAAAAGGAGGCATTCATCACTGGGCAAGAAATGGCTTCCATGTCCTCTTCCAGAAAATCCTGAATATCAGAGATATCATTTTCAAGAGAGATTATCCCAAGACCACTGGGGTGCACATTTTGGTATGTGTTCATGACAGGTCTCTTTTTGGAGGACAGATGTGCAGTGGAGCTCCCCGTCTTCACCATGCTCAGAAGAGAAGTCTGGACTGTATCTTCTCTTTCTTTCCTCTGGGAGCTTTGGTCCTTATTCAAGTAATGCTGCTTTGGGGAGGCAGTGGTTGGAATGTGGTGGTGATTGGCAGATTCAATGCCTAGCAAGTTCATATCATTTCCAAGTTTGAACTCCAATTCCTTTGGGTTTAAAATGGAAAAGAATATGTCAGTGTTTCCTTCCAGGTAAAGAATACAATTCGATCCTTGTCCTTACCCTCTGGAAACAGAGCTAAGCATAAATCCTATGATCAAGGCAGTTTTCTGCATGATTAGCCAAGAAAAGATTAACTAACCATCAAGAGTCAAATTCACAGCAAAATCACACAAGCTTGCTTGTGGAAGGGGATTTGGGTGGGTCTAGTACAACTCTGTACAGTCCATGCAAGCTTTCTGAACCACTATCTCACTAAGTTACCGTTTGGTTCAATCTACATTTACAAGAGCCTCTTTGAAACCCTTACTCTTCTTTATGATAATTCTAATTATTTTAAGTCCTCCTTATAATGAAATAATATTTCCTTCATAGAAACTTTTACTATACTTGTCAACTCCTTTCTACACAACTCCTTAGCTACCCTCTGATGTGACTAAACTCATTTCTTATCAAGGGCCATAAGAAAATAATGGAGATCAAAAAGAAAGTCTAAAATCTAGTTAGTAGCAACAGCAGTAAGCAACAAGTAGACACTAGAATACCATTGTGGTTCTAAGGTTCCCAGGTTGTTTCCATTAATAAAGCCTGAAATGAGGAGAACCAACTTTAGAAATTCACATCTGATGACTTTCCCACTTGGGTGAGAGAACAAATGAATCACCAAAATTTTCACTAGCTTTTCAATTCATGGAGCAGGGGACATTGCCTAATAGCCCATAGGCAGTAACGTGCACCCACCTTCTAACTGCACCCTACATGTCAGACTGTAGGACCCCTAAATGCATCCCAGACTGGCCACTTTTCTCACGTTTTTGCTTGGCTTTCTGTTTTTCCTTCAGAAGGATCCCAGAAGCATGCTACTAACAATAAAATGCTTCCCATCTGGACACCTCTGTTTGACCTCCCAGGTTCTGCAAAGAACCCACCGTGCACCACCAAGGAGCAGAACCACAGCCCACGTCGCACCTCAAAGCCATAGGAGAGCTCAAGACACATGGCCTCATACTGCTTCAGTTCCTCTTCAGGTCGGTCAAGACCAGGTCTGAAGTTCAGCTTTTCCACGTCAGTTTCCAAGTCCTTGTCCTACAATGAAATATTCAAAGAACATCTGACAATCACAAAATCTCCACTGGAAGGCATCAAGACACTACTCGTATGTGCTTCTTAATTACATGTGTTTCCTTGCCTTCAGATTATAATGCTAGCCTGACCACTGGAGGATTTATTGCACTAGATTGTGTTTTTTAAATACAAAAAAAGAAGATATATGACTTTTGTCAGCCTTTAGGTCACTATCTATCAGCTCTCATAAGAAATTAAGTAATAATTTATATAAAATGAGATAAGCCATGAACAGTAAAGTGTGATCAAAGAAATGCTTTATCTTATCCACTGCTATCATTAACTTCATTGTAATTATCATCCCTCTTCACCTATCTGCCTTTGCTGTTTAGTTCCTTCATGCTTTTCAGAAACATTTAATGAGCAACTACTATGAATAAGTATTCTCCTAGATACTGAGGAATCAGTGATAACAGAACAAGCAAAGATGCATGCTCCTATGGAATGTGCCTTCTTGTGAGAGAAGGAAGAGAGTTAATGATACACAAATGAATAAGGCCATTTCCAACAGTGATTGCACTGGAAGCAGGGTGTGTGATTGTGACTGAGAGTGAGGTATGGGACGGGGTAACCTAACAAGTCCTCACGCAGTGAGACTACTGGTATAACAAGGCCTAAATGACAAAAAGAGCCAACTCTAAAAGAACAGGATCGGTAGCAGAAGAAGCAGTTTAAATTTGCTTACAAAAAGACAGTAACTGAAACATAGAACCCAAGTGGAAGAACACAGATGAGATTTGAGGAGAAGAAGCAGAGAAATTATAACAATTCTTACAGGTCTTAGGGAATAGTGTGTATTCTCCTGCTACACTTTTATCTCTTTGTACATTTAAAAATTTACCAAGTATCACCAGTCTTTTCTCAATACAGTTGAATAATCCAAGTCATTTTATTTTTTTCTTCTACATCATCATTGTGTAATAATTCAAGGATCCTGGTGGCTCTCCTCTAAACACATGTATGTTTTTTAAGACTTGTAGAGTCTTACAGAGAATCAGAGTAGAGTCTCCATCTTTCCATGCTCTAGATAAAGTTCCCTTGCTAAAATAGGTGAGAAAATCTACTTTATGTTTTAGAAACATATTTGATTAGATAAAGAAAAACCTGGTAGTCCTGAAGACCTAAATCAAATAAATGTGGAAAATAAATGCTTCTATTTCTGATCAAGGGGAAAAAAAGAAAACATAATATTCTACCCATCTTGCATAATAGTCCTGCAAATTTCAAATTAAAAAAAAAATAAATCCCATAGGTTTGCTTTAATGTTATTTTCAGATTCAATGCACTCCAGGCCCAAACTCCATAGCTACCACTCTTGTCCTTTCCAGCTGCATCTACCAGTTTCTGCTTCCCTCCAGTCATGGCCCAAGGTGATCTCAATTGAAATGCAGTATGGTTAGCCCCCAGAAGAGTGCTCCCACCAAAGAGTATTCAACTGGTATGTCTAGGGTAAAGGAGCAACCCATGAGGTGCAGCCTACTTAATTCCACATGTGGCTAAGTGACTCATTTAGCAGGAGTTAGCAACTATGCCTCTACGCTTGTTTTTGTAAAGAAAGTTTTATTGTAATACTATCAGACCCAGTCATTTGTCTGGTGCTTCTCTTCGAGATTCTCAATGGCTTCTTTCTTGGTACAAGGCAAAGTAGATTACTTGTGACAGAGACTTGTTTTCAGTCTTCAAAGGTCTGGAGCTTAGTTTCAGAATCTCTAGACACTCAGCTGACTTCTCACCTCTTGGTGTATATCTTTCAGTACACTTATACTTGTCTATAGATGGACCTGCTTCTGTGTCCTTAGAGCAAACCAGACATTCAGGATCTTGATATCCACCTCCAATCCAAAGAATGCTTTCTGGTCCTTTCTTCTTAGTTTAGACCTCTTGGTTATTGTCTTTTATCTCCCTCATATCTGAGTTCAAGTCTGAAGGTGCTAATTTGAAACTTTAGTAGGGACAGCCCCTCGATTTACTAGACTGTGAACTCTTGGATGATAAAAACTATGTTTGTTTTTGTATCATATTTCCCAAAAACTTAAGAGTGTTGCACATGAATCATACACAAGAAAGTACCTGATAGAATAAATGTTAAAAGAAGCAAAGAGGGGGGAAAGGAAATGTGAAAGGAAGACAGAGCTTACATTCACTGTGTATACTCCTCCTCAGTTTACCCAAATCTACTATTTGGGTACATAAAGAAAAAACGTAGCCAACATTTTGTCTCTATTTGTTGTGAATTTGTCTTTTCTTTTGTTGACCTTGACAGTTTTCAATCAAACCACTGCAATCAGCATTCCATTCTCAAGACTCTTTTGCAGATAAACATTCCTTTTAATCATTCTTGCTGAGAGGTTGCTCCCAATTATTAGTTGAGATTTTCAAATGAAAATGCCAGAGGTTAAAGGCCTGGGTTGGTTCTGTGAATATAATGTATAATACACACACACACACACACACACACACACACACACACACACACACACACACATGCCTGACAAGAAGGTCCACAGCCCGGGAAGCAAAAGCTCTGGGGTTCACCAAAGGTAAAGCAAGGTGCTGCAGTACCCATCCCCCTGCTCTTGCCATGCCCAAGAGTGAAGCCCTGGTTCTGATTCTCCCTCAGTTTCTCTACAAATCATGCTCTCACACTGACTTCTCATTATCTGCCTGGCTTGAAGGCTTTTGAAGAGTTCCCAGGCCCTTACCAATTTTTCTTGTGCTTCTTTTCCAGCTGTATTTGTATATTTTCTTAGGTTACACCACACCCTACCCCACCATCCTCTGCCCCACCATTCTCCACGGAGCGAGCACCAAGGAGTATTTCAGAGAGCCCTCCCTCCCACGCTGTGTGAACTCAGGCCCTGCCATACGCCTTGTCCCTCGCATCAGATACAAGAGGCAACTGACACTACAGCAGACATTCAGTTATCAAAGAGCAAGCAAAAGGGAGGGGAAATGGCAGTGATGAATGGCTGCAGCAGCCCAGTGTTATTCAAATAATTTGGCACGTACTCCATAGGCCTGTGTCGCTTAGCCACTGCAAAGAACCAATTTGCTACTGATGACTTCAGAAATGATTCTATTTATCAACAAAACCCTGTGCGCTCCAGACTGTCAATAGTAGTCTGATCCCAGAGATATGGCTAAGAGATAGTCTTTAAATGTCTGCCACCACCAGCAGCAAGGTCAGTGATTATCACAATAGAAAATTCAAAAGTCTCTCTCTCTAGGGAGAGAGGGGAGGCAGGAAGAATTGGGAAAGGAGGGAGAGATGAAAGGAGAGGAAGGAAAGAGGGAGGGCAGAAGGGAAGGGAAGATAGTTTTTAGACTTGCTTTTTATCCACTGCAAAGTAATAAAAGTAAGATTCTCTTTTTAGTTTTATCTAACAGATGACAAAATCAGAGAACTATAATTTGAAGGCATTTGCCCAAATCCAGGCATATCAACAAAAATTAAGACAAAATCATAACTGATAGACAAATTATCATTATTCAAAAGCAGTGGTTCTCAACTAGAGATGAATTTGGTAATTCCTGCAGATGTTTTTAGTTCATGTATTAAGGACAAAGGGGAGAATGCTACTATTATCTAGTGGATAGAGGTCAGGGGTGCTACTAAACATCCTACAGTGTATAAAACAGCCCCAGCAAACTAGAAATATCTAGTCAAAATGCCAATAGGGTTGAAAAGATTCAGCCTCCCCGTGTTGAAAAGCAGTGAGCAAACTACATCCTACTGCCTGTTTTACTGGGACACAGCCATACACAATCATTCATGCACTGTCAGAGGCCACTTTTATGCTGCAACGGCAATTTGAATAGTCATGACAAAGACTTCATGGGGTAGAAAACCTACAATAATTGTTAGCTGACCTTTTATAGAAAACTTCCTGACCTCTGTTCTACAATACAAACTATTATGGGATAGGGACCGAGAGCATCCCTTCTTTATTAGCCAGGCAGTACACTTTGCAACTCAGGAGAACAGTTCATGCAGATATAAATGAGATTGGATGATCACATCCCTGTGTAGAAGGGGCAGGTAAGAAGAGTGACTTATGAAGATAGGTGAGCTCTAGTAGAAAACCTTTTCATGGGTTCACATACATTTATTAAGTATAACAACCTTCAGCATTAAGTGTCTACATAAAGCTCATCCTGATGGAATATTAGAGTCTTAATAATCGACAGCTCTGACTTTACAGAGAGACAATGTACTAAATCTTTCAAGATGAAAATGTCAAGTGGGAAATCAATGGCGGTAGTTGCATTTTTTGAGCATTTCTGGAATGACAGTGTTAAAGTAAATGCTTAAAATTTTACCCTGGGCTTTGACAAACACTGGAAGTACTATCCTCCTTGGCATGGTACGAATATGGAGATCATTGCAAGCAAGAGTTGGTGTACCTACTTGCTCTTTCACATCTTCCAAATCTGAGTCTTTGTCCATTTCTTCATCACCATCCTCTTCAAAATCCTCTGGATGAGAAGAAAGGAGAGTAAATGAATGAGACTTTTATTTGTCTGTGATTTACACAAAAGGGGTGGATATTTCTTCTTCTCACAAATAAGGAACATATTAAGTGCACGGTATTCCTGAACAAACACACTCGGATGCCTCCTACTATGTGTAAGTGCTGTGCACACAGATACTGGGTGCCCCGGATTGTGACGTCTCATGAACTCTCACAATGAATGCAAATGCTGCTCTGGTTTTCCACCAACAGAATTTGGAGGAATTTATGCAACTAACATTGTATAAAGTTTAGAGATCATATGCAAGCAACTTTTTTCTAACTTAGATACTACCTTGACTGAGTCCCCCAAAAAATGTATTGGGGAAAAAAGTCATCTGTGTCTTTAAAAAGCATCTGGTACTATTATGGGGAAATTGTGCCCATGGAAAATCTGTTTCATGGTAGAAAGACAGGCCTGACGAGCACTGGAATCTCTTGACCTTAAGATTTTCCTGGAGGTTAAATAGTCAGACACTTTCAAATATCCCAATATGAGAAACATGGGGTTGTAAACAGCAAAATTTTTATTTCAGCTTTATCCTTAGGGCAAATTAATTCCACCACTAGTCAGCATGGTAGAGATGCTCACTCACAGAATTGTGAATAGATTTTTTTTTAATTGGCTGAGATGACTGTACAGGCATTCGATAGCTACCAGGCAAAATGGCAACAGTTAATAATTAAGGACAAAATAAGTGATCTTGCTGTTTCTTCACCCTGTTTATAGAAAACTGCTTTTTCATATGTGTCTCTAATTAGATTATTAGACAATCATGGTTGACCTTGTAAAACAACTGATTCTACTTTTATGTGCAATCCTCTGCCCTATTTTTAAAATGTGACACTCAAAGATCATGGCTGTCTTCTTATTTTACCTTCGGTTGGGCCACAGGTGGGTACAGAGGGGATGCTCCCAGGGACCGGGAAGGCATAGGCACTGCAGGTTGTGATCAAGGGAAGGGGACTCTTGGGGTAGCACTGCCTCAGGATCTGAAGCACGGCTGAGATGACAGGCTCCATGCTCTCATTGTCCAGGCAGTTCTGAGCAAAGGGAAAATGTTATCAGACACTGACATCTGTGCACAGACCGTTGGCTATAAATTATTTCAGATAATGAATTGCACACAACCTAAATGGACAGTAAACAGCATTAATGCGGAATGTCTACTTTGAATGTAGTCTAATGTAGCATTTGCATTTTTATTTCTTTTTCATTGCTCATATGGCATTGAAATGAAATTTAGTCTGAACTTAGAGTTAAAATTATTTCAAGAGATGCTGCACCTAAGGAAAGACACTGCCCTGGACAGCTGGGGAAACGGAAGGTAGACACCTTTCTGCACCCGTCCTTATGTCACTGTGAATGACTGCCTAAGTTGGAATGAGTAGCTGAATTGATGGAAGTCTTGCTTTTCTCTTTCAGCTGTATTTGAAGAGAAAAAAATAAAGGAAAAAGATAAAACACAGAATCAGAAGAGAAGACTGGGTGAATCCCATGTACCTAAATTAAATAGCATGCCTTGTCTCAAAAGCCCACAGTGTTGATCCTTCTCGATATCTGCCCAAAGCAAAGAAAAAAAAATGGGTCTGCAGATGTAACATTTTGATACTGATGGAACATGACAAGATCATCTTTTCAAAAACTGTGAAAAATGTAAGAGCAAGTTTACTAAATTGAGAGAAAGAGTTGAATATAGTTCAGTATCTCTTTGGCAAAAACACTACCATCTTCTCCAGTTTCTTAGTAAATGTTTCAGGTACTGAGTTGGTAGAGAAGTCCAACTAGTATGAGCCTCCAGTTTGATACTGCTAAAGGGTGAATGAAGCAAGCTCAGTGGTCAATAAAGTCACAGTAGCAGAGACAGCAGAGGCTCAGTACCCACCACAAGGCATGCGAAGGTCTATGATGCCACCACACTAGGGTACCTTCAGGCCACATCACATGTAGCTCCACATGAGCAAACAGGAAAAAAAATTTTCATGAAAACTTAACCATAAATCAAAGCTACCTAAATGACTCCAAAATATATATAAGCCAACTTTCAAAACAGAATTGCCTTAGTACAAGCACCATCCTCCTTTCAGTGTACTCAGTGGTACCCATCAGGCATCTCAGAGCACACTGCAGGACACACTTCCAGGAAAAAATGAATTAGTTGAGGCTGTTTCATACCTTGACCTGGCCAAAGAGCCTCTGTTTAGTAAAGAGTTATTAATATTGGGGAAGAAGAAAACAGAATGTGAAAGAGGAAGAGAGAATTTAAAGTAGAAGGCTCATCAGAGATAATGTTCTGAGCTTCAATCTTGGGAGAGAAAAAGCTAAGGCCAAACTAAGAAACTTGGCCAAAATGTCACCATTTTGGAACCTGGGTCCATCTGTAACTGTCAGTGGTGATGACAAATATGGTCCTGTTTTTATCATCTTCATGATGGCTCAGGTGAAAAGTAAATGGAAGGATCCAGGCTAGACCATACCATGAGCTGGATCTGGGGCATTAAGGATAGTGTTATATCTGGTGTCTGCTACTCTGTGGGAGGAAAAACTTTCTAATTCAATGATGATCCAAGATACCATGTTTTGGATTTTAAATATTCCCCAGAGGCCATATATTGAAGGTTTGTTTATCAGCTCATGTCCCTGCTAGGAGGTGGAACCTTTCCAAGGTGCAACCTAGTGGAAGAGAGTTAGATTATTAGGGGAGTGACCTTGAATGGGATGCTGGGACCTTGGGTACTTTCCTTCTCTCCTTTTTGCCTCCCAACCATCACGAGGTGAACAATCTCCTCTGCAATATTCTGCCACCATGATGCTCTACCTTCCACAGGTCCAAAAGCAACAGGGTCAAGCGAACATGGATTAAGACCTCTGAAACCAAAATAAAACTCTGGGCAAAAATCAAACTTTTCTCCTTATAAGGTGATTTTCTCTGGTATTCTGTCACAGAAATAGAAAGCTGAATAAAACACAAGGTATGCTGGTTAATCTTGATTGTCAATCTGACTGGATTAAGAGCCTCTGGAGAGGTGATGGAATTATGTTCATTTTACCTGTATGCAGCTGACCAATGGATGGAAACCTCTGGAACCGTGACCTAAAAACAAACCTTTACTCTTTCAAATTGTGGGTGACAGCTAGATTGTCCTGATGACAGTAAGCCTAACCAAATACAAAGTAGTAGAAATTCTTAGGTATACTTGTCACCATTCCCTCAATACTAATGTATAGGGTCTGTGCAGGACCAGAGTAAGTAAATGAGGTCCCTAGAATGCAAAATTTCATGGAGCATCTGCTTTTAATCTCCTATAACTGCAGGGTTGATACTGTTTTATCATAACATGACAAGTCTCCAAGAAATAGGATCCCTGTGGACAAATGTCTCAGAACTGGGGGCAAAGGTAAGACTTTTAGGTTCATTTTTTCCCATTACTTCCAATCATATATCCATTACTTGGAAAAGATGATAAAATATGAAAGTTCTTTAAACATTCAGTGTTTTGTCCCAATGACTATCTCTGAATTAGCTATGGGATAATAAATACCCAATTTCTATGATGCATAGGCAGGGCCTAGTAACAGACAATAACTCAGAACCTGGTAAGTGGTAGCTGGTGGGATATCAGAGGCATCATTAGGTTCATAAAATATCTTAAGAATGTGCAAGTAAATCCACTGCTACTCAGGGCAGAGTCCTAGTAATGATCCTCACAATGACAAAGGGAGGCATTGTAGTGGAAAGGGATTCCAACTTAGAGTCAGAAGTCCTGGATTTCAAGTTCTTTTTCTAGCTAGCTGATACTATTGACATCTCCAGCCTGAACAATTACAAATAATCTAACTCTTCCTCTTACCCTCTTAATACTTTCTCTTCATGCCCTCTGATCATCTCCTCTAGAAGACAGGTTCTTTAAAAACATAAATCAGTCTAATAGGAAAGAGTTTCAATTTGGCAATATGAGAATAATTCTGGAGATGGTAAGTGGTAATGATGGTTGTAAAATAATATACTTAACTATTTACCTGTACAATTAAACATATTTAAGAGGTAATTTTTATGTCATATGTATCTTTTTTTATTTATTTATTTTATTGAGTTTATTGGTACATTTTAGGGATACAGTACAGTTACATTCATTGTTGGGATCATGTACCTCTACATGGCAAGTCTTGATTCTCATTTTTTCCCCTTACCTCTGCCCTCCCTTCAGCCCCTCCTCCCCTCCCCATCTACAAACACTTTATTTTCGTCTTTTCATTCTCTCACATTTTTTTCTTTTCCCTTTTTGTTCTTCCCCGACCCATCACACCTTCCCTTTAGCTCCTTTCTTCCCATTTCTCAATGTCAGTAATCTTATTAGAATCTTATGCATTGTTGCAGATTATTCACACCAGGGAAACTATTTGGTATTTACACATGTGTGACTTATTTATTTCACTTAGGAGTATATCTTCAACATGTATCCATTTTGCTATGAATGAATCTATTTTCTCGTTCTTTATGGCTGAGTAATATTCCATTTTATAGAAAAACCACAACTTCTTTATCCAGTTTCCAACGGATGGGCAAATAGGCTATTTCCAAGATTTAGCTATTACAAACTGTGCCGCTATAAACATGGGTGCACATACTTCTCTGTGATATGATTCTTTTAGTTCTCTTGGAAAGATACCCAGCAGAGGGATGGCTGGGTCAAATGGAACCTCCGGTCCAAGCTCTTTGAGGTATCTCCATATTGATTTCCATAGTGGTTGCACCAGTCTCCACTCCCACCAACAATGGAGAAGGGTTCCTTTCTCCCCACAATCCCGCCAACATTTGTTATTGTGTGATTTCTTGATAGCAGCCATTCTTTGTGGGGTGAGGTAGAATCTCAGTGTTGTTTTCATCTGCATCTCTTGAATGACCAGTGATGTGGAACATTTTTTCGAATATCTTCTTGCTGCTTTTACTTCTTTGTCTGAGAAATGTCTGTTCATTTCGGATGCCCATTTTTGAATCGGGTCTTTATATTTGGGGGGACTGATTGTTTTGAGTTCTTTATATATCCTTGATAATAGTCCTTTGTCTGAGGTACAGCTGGTAAAAATTTTTTCCCACATTGTAGATTGTCTCTTAGTTCTGCTAATGGTTTCTTTTGAAGTACAGAAGCTTTTTAGTAAGATGAGATCCCAGTTGTTGATTCTTTCTGCTAGTTCCCGTGCTACTGAGGATTTGTTCATAAAGTCTTTTCCTATACCAATGTCTTCCAGAGTTCTGCCTAACTTACTTTCCAGCAAGTTTAATGTTTCTGTTTTAATATTTAGATCTTTAATCCATTTGGATTTTAATTTAGTGCATGGCGAAAGATAAGGGTCTAATTTTAATCTGTGGCAGGTTGATATCCAGTTTTTCCAACACCATTTATTAAAGAGGCTATCTTTCCTCCACTGAGGATGGTGAGCTCCTTTGTCGAAGATGAGGTAGCTGAGTACATCTGCATTTGTTTTTGTGTCTTCCAGTCTGTTCCATTGATCCTCAGGCCTATTTCTTTGCCAGTACCATGCTGATTTTATCACAGTGGCTTTGTAGTATAGTTTCAAATTGGGAATTGTTACACCTGGTGCCATGTGACTGTTGCCTATAATGGCTTTTGCTATTCTAGGTCTCTTGTGGTTCCAAATGAATTTTTGGATTCTTTTTTCTAGTTCTGTGAAATATAGTGTTGGAATTTCAATTGGCATTGCATTGAATGTATATAGCAGTTTCGGTAGTATGGCCATTTTCACTATGTTGATTCTTCCTACCCAGGAGCAGGGGATATCTTTCCATTTTTTTATATCCTCTTCGATTTCTTTTTTCAGAGTGCTGTAGTTTTCAGTGTAGAGATCTTTTGTTTCTTTTGTTAGATTGATTCCTAGATACTTCATTTTTTTGGATGCTATTGTAAAAGGAATTTTTTCCCTTATTTCTCTTTCCGTCTGTCTGTTATTTGTGTATAGAAAGGCTATTGATTTTTGGGTATTCACCTTGTATCCAGATACTCTACTGAATCTGTCAATTAAG